TTTTAAGCTTAGTCACCACAAAATGTTTGGTACTTCGCCAGTAAATATTCTATATTATCTCTTAATTAATATGAGGCAGTTGAAGTAGTAAGATTTAGGGATTTATTTTTTTATTATTTATTTTTATTTTTTGTAAGCCAAAAGAGTGTGTGATTACTGTAGGTTTATCCTCAAACGAAAAAGAATTAAACTGTCTTTAAAAAGTTCCACTGTTGGGTCTATTTATATAATCGTCTGAACAAAATTGCATTTTGATGCTTAATTTTAACAGCTTTTTCTCTGGGGCATAAACAAAAATACACATTTATGTCTGTGACAATAATACAGACTTATATCTTTGGCAAAAAAATATGCAATTTTATAATGTCTTAGTTTGATTGTACCTTTCAAACTAAGATTGTGCCTCAGACCTGTATTACTGACTGACTTCTGTGGAACATAAAAGACGATATTGGGAAGAATGTTGGGGTCCAAACAACACTGGACCCCATTCACTTTCATGGGCAAAAACAGTAAAGCCTGTTGTGTTTCACAGAAGAAAGCAAGTCATACAGGTTTGGAACAAAATGAGTGAGGAAATGATGACAACATTTGTCATAATTAAATTTTTTTTCCCCTTATTTTATTTATTTATTTATTTTTTGAACAAGCATTTTGACATTTTTGTGCTCAAAAGACTCAGAGTATTTTGTCATGCACAGCCAAACCGTCTCCTTTCAGCTGGAACTCATACATGTGTGTCATTACTATATAGTGGGAAGCCGCTAATACTCTTCTCCTATGTAGAAGGAATTGTGGGATTTGCAAAAGATTGCATGTCTTGCCTGTTGTGTGCAGGGGGGTGATGAGTGTTCACTACAGTTGCCTGGTAATTGTGCACCAACAGAGAGGCATTGATTGAATCGTTGCTCAACAAAGCAGAAACTGCTTATTGAGCTAATGTGCTACTGTGTTGGGATCAATTTCACAATGTCACTTTTAAAGTATAGACTATGGAGAGTGGTAGGCGTTTCAGAGCGGATTGTGCCAGAGCTTTCATATTCATTTTTATGCATGTGGACACTCAGCTTTCATAACCTAGCCTATATGTGCTAGTTAATGTGACTGTATAAGTCACAGACAGACAGTGCTTTCTAGGTAACTATATGTTTTCATTAGTGATTTGTTTGTGGTGTTGCTCTCTCGCAGTTGCAAATCACTTATCATTTACGCCTGTTGCTGCTTCAGTTATTTTTTTGCTGGTAAAACAAATCAGTCCTCCTCAGCATAAATCAGTTCTTTTGAATCTGCTGTGGAGATATTGCATGCTAAGCAGTGTCGTGATCGTTGTGAACAGATGCAAACTTAATTTCTTGACCTTGCCGTTTCATTTACCCGTCTTGTGATCGCAGCCTTAGATTTATCGGGTTGCTGTACTAATCACTTTTGAAAGGATACAAATTTTGGATTTAGCTTTTTGGATTTAAACTTGAAGTTTGTCAAGTTAGTGGCATTGCATATTTGAACTTTCAGAGTTTTTTTTTTTCTTTTTCTTGAAGTTTTTGGAGTAATAACAGAAATAATCATTTCCAGTAATGTTTACTATAAATAGTAATATCTTCAGTAATATCTACTATTTCTAGTAATATGTATATCATACTAATATTTATTACTTCTGCATAGGGCTGGGCGATAAAACGATAACGATACTTATAGTGATAAGAATTTTCCTTGATAAAATGTTTGATAAATGTTGGATACAGTGTTTATGTGCCAAAAGTGGAACAAAAAAGCACTACTCATTTGAACCGTGCTACACGGACCATTTATTCACTCGGCTCAAAGTTCAAAAGCGTGAGCTTACTAGAGCAGATGTGTTTACTCGCTGATAAGACTCGGTCATACGAGCACTAAACAGTGCTGTGAATTCAGCAAAGAACACAAATACAATCAGAAGACTTTTTAATCTACAAATTGCCATCATTTATCATGGATTTACTGCAGTAACACTAACATAATAATTGTACTTAATTGTATTATATTATTAATGTAGACAAGTATTAAAAGAGTATTTTTTTTGTGTGATTAAGCTATAGTGTTTGTTCATTTACACTAAATGTATTTAGACTACTGTTTTTCATACAAACACCTAGAAACCAAATAGTTACATTTTTACCATGGTATTGAGGGGCTGTATGCATGGTTTTAACTGTGGTTATCATGATCTAAATGTATGCTACTATAGAAGACCAGTGGTTAATTTTAATAAAACTCAAACAGTAAAAAAAAAAAAAATATGAGAATATGGGGTTGTAATTTTTTTTTTTTTTTTTTTTAACAGATGTTACTGTTTTTGATAAGGAACATAAATTTATATCTACATCCTAACTGAAGCTACAACTACTGTCAACTCAAGCTACTGTCAAATGTGCATTTCTAAGAGACGAAAAAAGATGCAATATTATTAATATTGCAGCCCACACTACAAACTGTGCTGAAGATATGCATCACCAAAGTCAGGCAACACAAACCCGTTTCATGGTATTGACAAACTATATCACTCATTAGAACATGCAGAAACTAAGAAATTCATTTTTCTATTAAGATATTTATTTTGTTAAGGAAAACATGACTGGAAAAGTGTAAAGGATTCAAAAGCGTGAAGTGTTTATCAAGTTCTGATCATAAAGAGTGGTTTAAAACCACGATTAACAGTCTGCTTTCTACAACTTTCACTTAAGAGCAATTTTGTTTCATGTAGAGATGAAATTTGTTTCATGTAGGGAAGTACGGATACTGATACTGGTATCGGTATGGGGCCTGATACTGCACTCCTGTACTCGTATACTCTTACTCATTAAAATGCTCTGGTGCCAAAAGCCGTTACCACACAGCGTGTGAAGTTGTGAACAGAGCTGTGTCCAGACAAAGAAGCATCAACAACAGAGAGCAGAGTGGAGTTATTAGAGTTTAAGGATGTCTATAAAGTACATGTATGTAATTAATATAATGAATATCGTGATATAAATGTTGGCCATATCGTCCAGCCCTATGATAAATATTCAATATTCACGCCTGCATGTCTGATGTGCTCGAGCTGCTAAGCAAAGCACTCTGAGTGGATTGAGTCTTCCTGTCTAAGTAAGTGACTCTGACTAGAATGAACTGTAAAGTGCACCAAACTTTGTTGTAATCATGAAACTATTTCTCAAGTGAAATTCATTAGGAAAGGAAAAAAAAAGTGATGCAAAAAAAATAGAATCGAGTCCCATTCTTCACCAGGTTACAAGAACAGTGTTTGCTCTTATATTCCTCTCTCTCTCTTTCTTTTTCTCTCTTTGGTTCAGTGTAAATGGAGACAGAGAAAGAGAAATAGAAGGAGGGTCATAGATGCAGACGTAACGCGAGAAGCACCTCTTGCCGTTTCAGCGCTCGGGCAGGATATAGCGACCCTTAAAATGGTTAAAGCAGTCAAACTGCAAGGGTGGTACAGTCAGTCCTGTGAGTTATAGACTGGATATGACAAATGCAGTGGGGCCACAGGGAGAACAGCATATGAGGGAACATCCAGAGGCGGCGCAGAATACTTAAAGTCTCTCAAGGCCAGTAGGGATTTCTGTTTAAGAAACAGAGCTGTTATGGATTCATGATTTATGTATGCAAACTCAGAATGAGAAAGTAGATGGTTTTTATTCTTTTGAACAGTTCTACCGGACCAGCGATGGGAGAATCTAGATAGCATTCTAGCTCATATTCATGCCACTCGTTCAATCAAGTTAATTAATGGTTAAGGGAGCACTCAACTCAGTCCTGGTTAAAATCACACAATCTCAAGTGTATGTTTCTCACACCTGCGCATCTGTTCATTAATATGCATGCTGATAAATGTGTGTGTGTGTGTGTGTGTGAGTGTGTGTGTGTGTGTGTGTGTGTGTGTGTGTGTGTGTGTGTGTGTGCGTCAAACGTGTTGTTCTCACATGCTCTCACCTATGCAGTGACAAAACTGCTCTCCTAATCAACGCTGATGTAATCAGCAGTCAGCCCACCTATCTCTCTCTCACTAGCTGTCTCTCCATAGCCAGCTCTTCTAAAACAGATTTCCCTACTGCAGTGTACCATTCCTGTTAACAGGTCATTGCCGTCAGGAGAGCTTATCTTCCAGTATGGGTATATTGTGTTCACGCTTGTATACCTGCAAACTAAATTACATGGCTTTTCCAAAACAGTAGAAAATCATAAGAAAACCAGCTGGTGGTATTGTACAGAATAGCTGGAATATAGAACACATATTCATATGCTTCAAATTCTTTTGAAATGTGAGTGTGTATCTGTCTGTCTGTCTATTTATTTTGATCTACTGAATATCTACATAAATGTTTTAAATATTTTATTAAGCCTTCTGAGCAAAAGAACAAAAACTTTAATTATTGTTTGAATGGTTGTTTGACATTTTTGAAATGTTAAAAATTGTTAGTTTTCCTAGTAAACTGACTTGCCTTAGACTTTAATGTGCTGATGTCAAAATGTCTTGTATGAATTGATTATGTACATAATGTTTTTTTTTTGTTTTGTTTAAATGGCGAGTCACAATATCTTGTGATTGGTTGAAGTACTGTAAGTGGATTGAATATTATAGAATGTACAAATCAGTAATGCTGTGATTTTATAGGTATTATGTATTATGGAGTTACATTATAGATATATAATTTCAGGCTATTAACTGCAAATTGGAACCCTACATCTATATTGTACACTTTTGTAAAGATGTAAAATGTGTCTGAAAGAAGTCTTTTAGGCTCACCAAGATTGCTTGTATTTGATCAAAAAAAAAAAAAAAAGGGTTGTATGTGAAATATTACAATTTAAAATGTATTTTAAAATGCCGTTTATTTCAGTTTAGATATCATTTTTAACAGGGGTAGCTTATACATTAAAAAATCTAAATGCATCTCTCTCACACACAGTTTATTGTATATATAAACAGTTTACAGTTAAAACATTTTGTTTCTGTCCCATTCCAGCCCTTCCAAGCTACACCTGTGGGAATCCAGGTCAGCTGCTGAATGGCATGCAGCAGGGCTCTACTTTCAACATCGGGGACAAGATCCGCTACAGCTGCAATCAGGGTTATGTGCTGGAGGGTCACACTGTGCTCTCCTGCCTGGCCACTTCCTCCGGCACCGCTGCCTGGGACTTCCCCCTGCCATACTGCCGAGGTGAGTCCAGGGGCTCCAAATGGGAGAGGTGGGACTGAACCTCCTCAAGAGAGACTCAAGAGAAGGTTACCAAGTGTCTTTATCAGCGCTGACAGATATCCCGGCATTTAGTAGCAGGTTGGCTGCACAGTTCTATTTTTCCAGGATGAGACGCAGCAGAGACCCCCGAGGTGATACCTGCCGACGTGTGAAAGCCGCATAGACGTGTTGTGTGAGACAGCGAGGTCACGTGGTAATGTGTTAGCTGTTGACTGAGGGAGAGGGATATCCAAATGCTCTCGATCATGATACACTGAAAACATGCTGACAGTTCGAGGCCAAATATTAACACAATGTTGAGCCCCACTGACGTGATGTGCTTACATTTTGCGTCCATTCTGTTATACGCAAAGCACAGGCTCATAAGTATGCATAAATGAACTCTACATGGGCATATTCACATATTCATGACAGTCTCATAAAAACATACACAGGTCTTGCAGTTAATAAAACAATGAAAACATGCTCCGCAGATAATAGCATGTATAATGTATTAGACATATGCGAGTGCAATGCACAGTAGCTTTGGTCTCCAGATCGAGTGTGAGTGTGTTCTTGCAGGCCAGTATGAACCAGGGCCATCTGTGCCCGGGCTGGGGGACAGGAAGCCCACGTAAAGACACACATGCTAAGACACGCAATGCCAGAAGAAGACCCCCTCTTGCCAATGCTGAAGCTCCATTATCCTTCACTGGCGTCCTTCCGCCCCTCGTTATTCTTCTTTTACATTGTACAGTTTTTAGTCTTTTCGTCCCTGTATTTTTCTCACAATCACACCACTTTGCTTTCTCGTGCCAGGTGTTAGCAGTTCATGGATTTGCTGAGTCCCGATCCAACCATATGTCTCCAGATGCTCATTCCTTCTTAACTTTAACAATAAAGTATTTATTAAAAAAATTACAGGAGACATAAGTGTGCCATATTTGTATGAGGAATTGAACAGCAAAGTGAATTGAACTGCAATTCTTGGCACAGTTAATCTGATGGTTCTTAGCCAGCCTGCAGAAGGGTACAGCAGGGCTAATGTATTTATGGATTTTACTTTTAGACAATCTTTTTTTATTTATAAAAAAAGTGTCAGAATAAACTAATCTCATATACAACCTATGTAATGAAAATAAAGTCATAAGTGAAGTAACCTTAGACTTCATCTTAAGTTATTTAACATATTGTATTATTTTGTGGTAACCGTTGCATTTATTTATTGCTAACGTATTTGTTGAAATTGAGATGTATACATCATCTGAGCTGAAGCTGAATAAATAAGCTTTCCATTGAAGTATGGTTTGTTAAGATAGGACAATATTTGGCTGATATACAATTATTTGAAAATCTGGAATCTGAGGGTGCAAAAAAATCAAAATACTGAGAAAAATACCCAAGCGACTTAAGACTGGTTTTGTGGTCCAGGGTCACATATACACTAGGGCTGCAACAACTAATCGATAAAATCGATTATGAAAATCATCGACAACGATTCTCATTATCGATTAGTCGGGTCCGGTTTGCCCACAGTGCAAGTCCAACTTCAACCGGTCGCGTCAACTTACAGCACTGAATTAGCATTTTTATGGACAAAATGCATCTAAAAATAGTTGAGGAAACAGAATGAGATGCTGCAGGAGAGTTACGTGATCCAAGCTGCCCAAAACATGAGAATGCTTTATTTTAAGCTTTAAGCTAATGCATTTGCGTAATGGCTTGCCCTGTCAGGCGCTTTGACAGATGATGCGTGTGCGTCCTCAGCACAAAAAAACGTTCAGTTTAAGGTCATATCCTTATGTATAAATGTCACAAATTCACGCGAGCATTTACATTTTGCATAAAGCCTGACAGTCTGTGTTAAGTTTTAATCTTTACTGAATGAGCGGCGGGCGCGTGCACGCGCGTCAGACAGCCGGAAAAGAGAGACAATTAATAATCAGCGCAAAAATATGAATTGTGCTGAAATATCTGTTGTTGAAAGTTAAATCGAGGTTTAAAGGTCAACATGCATTGCGAGTATTTTATGAGAGTAGGAACTGTAAGGGGATAACAGCGTGTAATTGTCTGAATATAAATATCAGACGCTTCATAACCGCCTATTACACGATAAAGAAATGACAGGAAGACGTGACTGTGATCAAAGTGAACGTGTGTTCCTGCAGAACATTACTCTTACCTATTGGTTACAACTGAGTTTGTGGTTTTATTCGTCTTTATCTTTCTTATTTTATTTTTTAATGCAGAGATTTAAACTATATTCACTATATGCAATGCTTAAATGTATTAAAACAAATTTATGTAAGGTTTTTAACAAATTATGGTTTGTGCCACTGCTGCTCTACACTAACAGTACTGGTGATTACCAAAATCATTTTTTATCTTTCTATTGGTTAGTCCTCCAATATGTGTAAGCTCGTTAGTAACAGTAGTAGGCTATTTCTAATGCTATAATATAATTATTGCACTTATCTATGAAAGAAAGACAGAGAGCTTTATAGTGTTTTTTTTTTTTTTTCAGATACCCAATTACAGTCCAAAAGAACATAAACAATGCCAGCAAGAATGCAAGCTGTTATGAAGGGCATAGGAGGCCTTTTTTATGTGAATAAATACTATTTAGTTGTTTAAGTTTATTTGCCCAATAAATGACAATAACATATTTGATTTAAACAATTAATAATAAATTGTTAAGGACTGTATGTTTTCATAGCATGCAGTTTCATAGCATTCACGTTTGTATGAAGGACATTGTGCACTATGGGCAGAATGTGGAATAGAGCGTTTTTTTGTCAATAAAAAAAGAAGAAGATTTTTTTTTTTTTAAATCTGATTAATAGAAAAATTTATCAAAATAATCGTTAGTTGCAGCCCTAATATACACAACAACAAGATGAATCCTAGAGTTATAATCTCATCTATATTTATACTTCTATAATCAGAATAAAGACATAAGGGAAGTCATCTTAACTTTTTAATTACTTGTATTTAATGTAATTTAAGTTTAAAATTTTACTTTTTTATTTGACTTTATTTTTATTTGTAATTATTTTGCAATTTTGTGGCAGCCATTGCATCTATTTATTGCCATATTTTTTAAATCTTGTTTGTCCACATCTTAGTGCCACATAAAAAAAGGGGGAAAAATTATATATATAAATATATATATATATATATATATATATACAGGTGCATCTCAATATTTATTTAATACACGAGTTTCACAATTTGAGTTGAATTACTGAAATAAATTAACATTTCCACGACATTCTAATTTATTGAGATGCACCTGTATATGACACTAAATCGCTGTTCTATATGTCCATTTGGCAATCTTATCTATTTTTGTATCCTCTATCATCCTGCATGCTTTATCTCTCTCCAATTTTAATGGTTTTCTGATTAATTAACCATGCAACTGACACCAAACAAAGTTCTGCTCTGTACACATGTAGAGAAAACAGCAAATCAAAGGCTGTGGTAGCTGACAGCAGACAGCCTCCTCTCTGGCTCTGATTATGGGTGGCCAGAATGTGGCAGGAGGTTGGGTCATTTCCCTTAAAGGAGTCGCACAGGGTCAGTAAGGCTCCAGAAGCCATCTTGCTTCTCTTTCCTCATCACTGCTTATATATCTTCCAGGCCTCTTCACAGCGATCAGTCTGTCTTATTTACCACTTCCTATAGAGCATATTATAAATATTTGATCTAATAAGTCTATATTTATATACAAAACTTAATACTTTCCCAGATGAATATCAGATCTCTGCTTCTAAGCATCTCCACATTGTCTGTATCCTCACAGCCCTCTCAACCCCCTCATTCACTCGCACTGTGGGAATTCATTCAGTATTCCGCATTCAAAACGTCAGAATGGCTGGCTGCTGGCATGCCACCCTCCTCTACGGCACACCGAACAGGATGCTCGTTCCAAAAGGAATATAAGAGAAAACCGAAAAGTTGAATTATTACGGACTGGTTGGATCTGTTATTACTCCAAAATCCTTTTCTTTTCCCCGTTGTTCTTCTCCATCAGTGCTGGCTCTTGAGTCTCAGGGTGCTGCTGCACACCACTCGCTGCTGTGTTACCATGGCAGCCGCAGAGCCCGAGGAAGGCAGTATGAAGAAACATGAAACACAAGCAGACCATCTTTTGTAGGGACTTAGATCTTTATGCATCACACATCATCCATTTATTCAAGGCAATTGAACAAGTCACTTTGACATAAAAGAGACTTCCTTGGGCAGTTCAAAGGTCTGCTTGAGCTTATTAAGGAAACTGATTGATGTAAACCAAAATTCTGTTATGTGCAGTAGTTGTCAGGAAATGGGGCAGCCTTACAAAACTAGGGGTGTTTTGATACGGGTTTTTTTTTTTGTTTTTTTGTTTTTACATACTATATGACATACTATGACAATGAATGCCATGTGTACTCTAATATATTGTACATTGTACTTCATGTACCATGGCACAAAAATGGCTCTGCTGTGGTAAAGCCAACAGGTTATGCTTGTCTCTTTCTGATATTACTCAGTGATGGACACTTTTCACATTTGTGGGGTTCTCAGAACCAGAAATCATCACTGTTGGGTGTACTTCTATATAGTGGTGATGGGGAAATGACAGAAAGTATGGTTTTTGTGTTTCCATTTGCTCCAATAGTAAAAGAAAGTCAATGATAGTCTTTCCAAAATGTTAATGGCAGTCAGAAGAGAGAAAAATTAAAATTTACCATCATTCCCTCAACTGTTATATAAGAAACTTGCACAATAAAAATACACATATTGTACTGTATTTAATGTAATGTAATGTAATATAAATACTATACAAAGTATAGTGTTATAAATTTACATTAACATACAAAAGTTTGGGGTGGTTCAGATTTATTTATTTTTTTAAGCATTATCTTATGCTCACGGCTGCATTTATTTTATTAAAAATACAGTAAAAACAGTAATATTGTGAAATCTTATTACAGTTTAAAAGAACTGATTTTTATTTGAATGTCTTAAAATATAATTTATGAATGTTGTAATTCAATTATATTTAATGTATTAAAATATAATGTAAATGTGTTGCTGTTTTTTTTTTCATGCAGTCGTTACTCCATTCTTCACTACCATCCTGCGGAAATATGCTGATTTTGTGCATAGGATGCTTCGAATATAAATATCAAAAGAACAGCATTTATTTTAAATATAAATCTTTTGTAGCATTCTAAGTGTCTTTACTGTCACCTTTGAACTATTTAATGCATCCTTGCTGAATAAAAGTGTTATTTTATTTAAAACAAAACAAAACAAAACCCCAAACGTTTTAACAGTATTGTGTGTGTAGTGAATTGTGATTGGCTGTCTTTCTGACATCTATATGCATAATCAATTGTGATTGGTCTTGTGTTCCTTTCATATATGTAATCATGAATGCCAGCACTTGCAAGCACTGGTATTACCTTCATGAACTGTTAATCTAGTTTTAGTGATGCTTTTAGGTTTCTGCAAATACTAAATACATTTCCACAGCCTTTTATAAATATTAGCAGTTTAGACATGAAGTCACAAAGTCTCTACAAGATCAAACGACCAAACTGAGAGGCAGAGCTGAGGCCAGTGATCGGCAACGTTCTGCTGAAGTGTGACGGAAACTCACGGCTGGAATATCAATAGCCGGTCCTCCTTCCCCTGCCTCCATTGCACTTTTTTCCCTCTCTCCATCCCTCTGTTCTAGAACTCTCAGAGGCTGCTCCTCACACATGCTCAGTGTCTCTCCGGGGAAATGTAAGAGTGACGGATCCGACGGAAGACTGACAGGGCCCAGGTCCTCCCGCCGTTTTCCACTCACAGAAAATAAATCATGCGATTAGCCAGTCACCGCTAATGAATCCCATGCTGGCCTGTCAGAGAAGAACTCATCACCCATCAGTGACAAGCAAGCTCCTTCACCTGTGTGAGGCATATACACACACTCTGCACTCGCTCTGACATAGAGTTTGTTTATTTGGTTGGTGAGAGAGAATTTTGCCTGCTAGGTGTGATGACTCACTTTTTCTCTTGCGTTGTCTTTCCTTCCTCCCTCTCGAACTCACACACGAACGCCAACTCAAATGCCTCCTAAACAAATCTCCCATCACTCTTTTTCCCTCAACCCCTCTTTTGCCCCAGAGAGCCTCCTAGTTATCATTATGAGTCACTCACTCGCTCACACAGAGGCTCTTTGCTCCTTTACATGCCTGGAAGGCAACATATCCACTTGGCATGCACCCATAATTCATAATTCTTCTGTAGCTATCAAACTGGGGCTTTACAGGGCAGGAATGTCTTTTTACTGTAGGTGTGATTTCTATTTATTTATTTTTTCTCTATATACAGTGGAGTTCAAAAGTCTGAGACCACATGCAAAATAATTTGTATAAAATAGTAATGTTTATATCAATTCCAAATAAATGTTAATTTTAACTTTCTATTCATCAAAGAATACAGAAAAAAATGTATTGCATTTGCCACAAAAAAAAACAGCACAATTTTCAACATTGATAATAATAATAAATGTTTCTTGAGCAGTAATCACAGGAATACATTACATTTTAAAATATATTCAAATAGAAAGCTGTTACTTTAAATTGTAATATTTCGCAATATTACTATTTTACTGTATTTCTGATCAAATAAATGTAACCTTGATAAGCACATAAAAATCTTACCGACCCCAAACTTTTGAATGGTAGCGTACATTTAACTTAAAAAAATTTATCTGATTAGTACAAATTAGTTATCATAAAATGAGAAAAATAAATAAATGTATTAAAGAGAGAAACATTGACAGTTTGAATGAGAAATATTTCTCATATCTGTATATTCAGAAGAAAGATTTCTGAGTATTTCTGCTACTTCAGCATCAATAATCATACAAAAACGTCCTGAAATGTATTATAATGGTAATTGTTATGCTGATAATATAATTTATTTTAAACAAACAAACAAACAAATAAATAAATAAAAAGTCTCAGACTTTTGGACCTTTGAAGAACTGCAATTTCAATAGACTTTAATCAGGGTAGATGCCATTTTGAATTTTGCGTGGATGAACGAGGCTGTGAGGGATAGACTTACAGTTTTCAAAATGGCACACACTGTGTGAAGGTCCTTGATCACATGTACTTTTCTAAACTTACAACTTTCAAAACTGTTTCATGGAATTGTTGTCTGCTGAAAGTTTTTTGGATGTTTGGATGTTTCTTCAGCAGAACAATCATTATGTTGATAAACAACAGTACAGTCCATTGAACGCACTGTAGGATGTTCATTCCTGACAAACACCAAATATGACTTTACCTTGACTAGGGTCTGTTGAGATGACCCAACCTTGACACCTCAGCTAAACATCTTAGATTCTATATGATTTCTGCCAAAACTCACCATGGATATCTTGTAGTCCCCAGTTACCTGTACGATCTCTAACAAAGAGTTTTTCTGACTTAGCAGCTACAAAACCACTTTTAGATGCAGCCTGGTTGTCTTTACAATTTTTTATATTAATTTTATGTACGTTGTCCTAGAGACAATGTCTCTTTAGGTGATGTTGGGGAATAGTCTTTTTGAAAAGGAGGTCAGGTATCTAGACTCAACTTTTCTCAATGTCAAAAAGTTTTGATTTCTTCCTTTTTCTCAGGGGAGGGATGCATAGCAAAAAAACAGGGGGAGGGAAGTCAGTGGGTCTGTTGCTTCGCCTTCACCCACAGTTGGCTCGGCTCTTTTTCCTCACCTCACGGACTCGCTGTCAGGAAGAAAGACTGAGCATCAAGTGAGCGAAAAATAGAGAGATTGCATGTGATTTACTAAGGAAGGCTGGGAGAGCCAGGGGGCTCAATTACCACAGCAGCCTTTAAGTCCCTATTTGTTATATAATTGTTTCCTTAACACAGTTTATAGAGTAGAAACAGGTTTTGACTACAAATAATGAACAGAATTTTACATAGATCTCAATTAATTACCCCCATGTTACAGTGTGTTGCATCACTGGCCTGCGAGTGATGCCCGAAACCTCAAGACCTCCATTGTGTGTCACCCCCCCCCCCCCCCC